CTTGTGTGAGCCGAGGTGGGAATGCCAGAGGCTGATTTAGGAAACTTTGAGCTTGCATTTGAGGAGCAGGGGAGGCAGGTTCAGTGGTATTTGCTGCTGGGGACAGATTGGGAGAGTGGAGCTATGAGTCGTTAGAGGAATTAGCAAAGACTTGGCAGTTAAGGGATAGTGCAGAGCCATGAGGTTGAGGAAAGAGCGTTTTTGATTCTTGTGTTTGTTGTGTTGATTCTTAGGATCAAGAAAGCTGCTCATGTGCTATTGGCAGAGACAGAATTGCAGAGGCAGGAAAGAAGTGAATTAATGGAGCAGGTTCTTGAAGGAGACAGGAAGTTTTGAGGGAGAGAGAAATGGGGGGGTGCCCAGCTGATGCTGCTTTTTTAGACATTTATCTTTAGAATAGTGTTAGACCTACAGAAAAGTTGCAGATAGTGCAGAGAGCTCTCAGGCTCCTTTTAATTTCCCTTGTTGTAACATGGTAACATCTTACTTACCAGGTTACATTTGTCACAACCAAGAGGCCAGCATTGGTTACATGACTGTTAACTAAGCTCCAGACATACTGAGATATCACAGGTATTTCCACTAATGTCCTTTATCTGTTCCAGTGTCCCACCCAAGATACCATGACTGTCTCCTTAGACTCATCCAGTCTCTGACAGCTTGTCTCTTCTTGTGTTTCATGGCTTTGACATTTTTGTTTGTTCATTTTTTTTTTCCTCCTTTGGTCCTGCTGATTGAACCCAGAGGCACTCTACCTCTGGGCTCTATCCCTAGTCCTTTTATTTTGAGACACAGTCTCCCCATGTTGCTGAGACTGGCCTTGAACTTGTGACTTTCCCACCTCAGCCTCATAAGTCACTGAAATTACAGGCATGCACCACTGCACCCGGCAGACCTTAACAGTTTTGAGAAATACCGGCCAAAGTATTTTGTAAACTGTCCTCAATTTAGTTTTGTCTCGCGGCTCATCTTCTAAGAAACAAAGTTGGCAGAAGTGAAGAAACAAAGAAATTTCCAATGAAATCATGGGGGAAAAAAACTATCCTTTTTCTCTTTACACTGTCAAATGGAACCATTTGGGGCCAGATGGCAAAGGAGCTTTCCCCAGCAAAACCAGACTGTTTCCATTTGCTTTTGTTGGAAACAAAAAAAAAGGTAACCAGGCAGACTGTAGGCAGGGCCTCAGGCTGGGAGTGATGACTGTGGACTCTCTTCCTCCATCCCACCAGCTGGTGATCAGGCACATTGCTGTCCTCTTTCAAGGCCCCACCAGAATCTGCATCAAAACTGCTCAGATCCTATGATAACCCACAAAAGAGGCAACAGCCGTGGCCAACGTGACTGCCACGTGTCAGTCTATTAACCTGAGAACAAACCATCAGCTTGCCTCCCAGGCCCCTATACAGGCATCCCTCAGTGTCCACAGGAGACTGGTTCCAGGACCTTTCCCTTTCCCACCCCTACCCCTTCCCCAAAATCTGAGGATGCCAAGTCCTTTCCATAAA